CAAGCTCGTTAGGTAGGTTATGCGTTGGTTTCCTCTGTCCCTCTTGCCTTCAATCTGTCCTGTGGGTATCAAATTTTCCGAGCCATCTTTCCTCATTATGTGCTCTAGAAACTTCAGGTGTCTTTTTTCTGATTCTAAGTATAATTGTCTTTTTTGTTTCCATTTTCTCTTCTTCTCTTCGTCGTTGCTCACATGTTCAGTCCATAGTATTCTCAGCATCCTTCTGTAGGACTACATTTCTGTTGCTTCAAGTTATCTGTGAGGAAATTGCCCAACGTTCATTGCCATATAGGAGGACTGATATTACATCACAGTTCAGTATTCTTTTCTTTGTTTCTATCGATATTTTCCAGTTTCTTAATACTTTGCTTAGCTTTTGGAAGGCATTTTCGCTATTGCAATGCACCTTCGGATATCAGTATTTCAATTTCTGTCCTCTGTTAAAACACCTCCCAGATATTTAAATTGTTGTACTTGCTTGATTTTGGTATCTCTAATTTGTAATTTTTAAAATCTGAACATATTCTCCCTTTTGCACATGATTAATTTGGGCACAACAAGGTCTAACGCAAGAATCACATTTTAGAAGCACCAATCAAGATGCAAAATCAAGATCAAGCGTTTGTAGACCAGCATTCTTTATAATAACTGCATTTTAGCATAAACATTAAGTACTAGAATATCAATCAGTGATATGCAGAGGTTTGGTGATGCTCGATGTCACCTCCCCGATTGTATGAGACTCAAATATTTGGTATTCCCCATTTTTCACAGTAATCGTTAACTGAAAATATTGAAATATGGCTAATTTTGAAAATTTCCAAATTCCAAATTCGAATAAGTCTTTTTAGATTACAAGAAGATTCAAGGAACCCCATTTTCGGATATTCCAATTTTCTAGAATTTACCATGATGACTTTATCTTGTTGATTTGAAAAAATCCCAGAAAAATATTCTTTATATATACTTTCAATACGAACGTAACACAGGATTCGGTAAACTGAACTTCGTGGACAATATCTCGAGTTGAATCCGGCATTATGCTAAATATTTTGCATCTTTAATTTCGGATTTTTTTTCCTGACAGTTTCATCGGGAAGATAGATTATTTCGTTTTGAATTCTGCAGGTCAAGTGGGTGACACTTTTCGTTTTTTCTTGATTTTCACTGATTGTCACACCTGGCTCCGATAAGCGAGATAGCCCTTCTTCTCGATGTCAACGAAAGGTCAGATTTTGCTTTACCACAAATAATATAATTTCGACAATCTGTTCAATTAAAATGACTTCGAGCAAATGAAGACTGCATATCTTTTTTCGAATCTCGTGGACTGGCACTATATAGAATCACAAAGAACTGTACCAAATAACAAAAACCACGTAAGTTGAAAACTTTCAACAGCTAAAATGAATAACATATGTAAATCGAAGAGAAATAATGACATAACCAAGTTGTTGACATTCAACACTACTTTAAACAAAAGGTTAGGAAAGAAGCTTCCATCAATACAGGAAAGAGCGATAACAGTTACTGGACTTGAGAAATTTATTTTCCCGAAAAATTGTTTTAAAACTTTAATAGAAAGATTTTATAAATTTCATCTCTAAGTAGTTCTGGTTTCTCTGCAAATGAATGCCGATTGTTTCCTTATAAAGAAACGGCTACTATTTATTTCTTTTTCTTTTTTCAGCAGACATTTGCAGTTGAAGTTGAGCATCGGACTGCAAGGTTCAGGTATTTCTTCATGTAAGCTTTATGAGAAGAGCTTTTCAATGCTTTTACAACGAAGTTAAAAGAGTCAATTCCAAATTATAAAAAAATAAAGGTATATTTCACCGTTTGAATCCAACTCCGATATGAATGCACGAAGCCGTCGCATCGAATGCATCCCTTTCTGCACGCTACTGATGTCAATACTAATTTGATGTTGTAGATTCAACAGTTGTTTGTAAAATATGCAGATTCAACTTGAAATTATTTCTAAAATTAGTATGTGACAATAAGGTTCAGGAATTTTGCCAACGCTCCTCCAATTTACTAGGTCTTCATCTGCGTGAAATTGCAATTACGTGAACGACAGTCGAAATTTATACAAGGGAAGAAAACTCTGAAAAATGGCAATCCTGATTGCCTCCCTTGTAAGAATGTATTCTACCTTAAGTGTACACCATTTTTTATAGGCAACTTGTTTTATAAACAACAGTAGTCAACAAATGTTACTAAACCTTTAAGCAACTCTACTAATGACGTCAGTGTGGGTTAAGCAACTGAAAAAAGAAAGCGTACAATTAAATAAAAAGTTACTAAATTTATTTTATTTTATAGTGTATTCAAGAATTCTACTAATTCTACTTAGTTACTTGGTTACATTAAAATATCTTTTATTTCTATTTATTAGATGCAAGCATAAAAATATTTAGCAACCATATTTAAGCAACCCCAGTATTAGTCAAAATCATATGTTGTTTATAAAAAACAAATATGTTGTAGCACTTTCATCTATGTGTCTCTTTTTTACGCCAGTTATATAAAGAGAGAAATGTGAGATTGTATGCGTGCATAATTTGATTAGTTTTTAAGATCACAATATTTCTTTAATTTAAATGCATCTTTTAATATCTGTACAAATAATAATGCATATCTATGTGTGCATGTGGTGAGATGGGCACTGACCATTTAAGTATTCCATACCGCATCCCAAACGAGTCTACCAATAGACAACAATGATCCTGCTTTCCCGCCCGAGGCCAATGTACTGATGATGGATTAGGAGAGCTATGCTGATGTCATAGGTATTCATAGTTGGGATAAGAATGATCTTGAACAGAAAATCAACATCTTCTATCAAGTGATTCAAGAAATGAGAGTCAAGATAAACCTTTCCAAAATAGAACCTATGATCTGGAATTGAAATGAAAGCGACGATGACACCAACTCTGCTGAATCTGTAATAAAAAAAAGTCGTGATATGAAATTAGTAGATATACTAAAAGCTTCAGATACCTCGGTGTATGGATCAGTTATAACAATTTAAGTAGAGGAGAAATTCAAGAAATTGAACATAGAATAGACTGTGCTAGTGATTCGGTGAATGTGAGGAACAATATGTGACTCTCCGCAGATACCCATCTGTGATGGTCCTGGGGTTTGTTAGTAATGTGGACTGTGATGCCACCCAACTTCTTCTCAAAGGGTCTCAGAGTAATTACCACAACTTACATGAAGGTGCGAAATACAGTGGTCAAAGTCTGGACCAAAGCCGTATGTGTTCCAGTAGGACTCTACTCCTTCCTACATGGCCTGCATGACTCAGCAGTAGCTGGCTGAGAATTTTTACAATTATGTCATCCGCAAAATGTTGCATCGTAGCTTTCCTGATTGGAATCCTCCTACGGGGTACTATGTCTGGGTCATCGTCGAGAGGGAGGCCAATCAGCAGACGCACAATACCAAAGAACTCATTGAAGACTACCATTTCCAACTCTTTGATCCGGACATTCAATCTCTTCAGAAACCATTTTCAGGCAGTAAGAAAAGTCTTACTGAATAACTTCTTTTTTTCTGATTTTTCTAAGTTGAACAGATGTACAATTTTTTTTTTTAATTGATTTTTTTTCTATTGAATATTTTTGGTTTTCTTTATACTTTATTCTCATTTACCTAGAACGCCCGTTCAATCATATATATAATTATTTATTTAAAAATTATAACATAAATATGTTATAAAATCACTACAAAAATAACCATTTTGTTTCAACACCACCGGTGTCTTATCAAGTGACGATGTTGAATGTAAAATAAATGGTTTTAAAAGCACACACACACACACACATATATATATATATATATATATATATATATATATATAGAGAGAGAGAGAGAGAGAGAGTGCATGAGAAGTACTTCCCAAAATACTTCTTAGTGTCTTACCATTATGTTAGAGGTATTTCTGCCATTCTGTATATATATATATATATATATATATATATATATATACAGAGAGAGAGAGAGAGAGAATTAATACAAGTAAAAGGTTTGACACTTTGCTGATTGATGCTGCCTTCAGCACCACGACTCCAGAGTTTCGTAGTCGGATCCTCCGGGAATCACTCCGTGCACTCGTCAGCGGGGTATCAGCAATTGACTGCTTATACTTCACGATTTTTCGTTTCTATATGCACTTTTCATTGATGATTTTTTCTTCAGTGTATCTGTACGTGTGTGCGCCCGGCTGCCAGTGCGTGTAGAATGTCGTGGTTATTTCCCATTTTCGTCGTTTTTTTTTTTTTGTTTTGTTTTAGTTTTTGTTTTTTTGTGGGGGGCACTTTACACTCATTCCTTAGGCTTTTCTCTCTTTTTCTTTCAATTGTAACCATTTTCGCATCCGGTTTTCTAGACATGGGCTGTTGTTGTTAATTCTTGAGCGTTCTAGTGTTTTATTGAGTTATATATATATATAGGCTGTAGAAATACTTTTACAAATCTTTCGAGCGGGTTCCTCACACCAAAACAAGGACAAAAGTCCACATAAACATATATCCACAAATCCTTCATTTTTGACTTAAGTTTAAAGCAAGTTTGCAATAGACACTGTTAATGTAAAATGTGTTCTTTATGGTCGGGCGTACGAGTGAATCTCCGTTTTCATATCTGCCTGCCCATGATATGAATATCCTGCCATTTTTAAACGGAACACTTCTCAGTTAACTCACTACTACACACATTAAACATTGAAGACAAACTAGCCACAAATATACACAATTGACAAATGTAACCTACTCTACATAGCAGAACAGTGCCATCTACTGTAAATTTTCTTTAAAATTAATAAGTCAAAAACGAAGGATTTGCAGACATATGATTATATGGACTTTAACCCTTGTTTTGGTTTGAGGAACCCGCCCCCAAAGTTTTTAAAAGTATTTTTGATACACCCTATATATATATATATATATATAAACAAGTATATGATTGGTGTATACGGAATAAATTTCAATAACCAATATATATATATATATATAGATAGATAGATAGATAGATAGATAGATAGATAGATAGATAGATAAGTTACGAAAAACTTGGTAATCCGTATGAATAGTCCCAAGGAGGATGAAATCCTGAGAGCTCAAAATAAATTCAGAGCTAATTTTTTAAAGAAAAACAGACCACTTTAAGGCTCCATTGTAATAGTTTATTTCACCGGAGACCTTTTAAAGGACGCTGGATCATCAGACATCACTTCCAAAAGGTTACTTTAAAAGGTCTCTGGTGAAATAAACTATTACAATGGAGCCTTAACGTGGTCTGTTTTTCTTTAAATATATATATATATATATATATATATATGAATGAAAGCGATTTGAAAAGATAATTCCACGCTTTATGTGCAGGATATTTTATATCTAGAAATTATAGTAGACAACACATCTCTTCTTAACAATTTGGCAACAGTTTTGGGAATTTTACTGGATTTTCCATATTTCACATTATTAAACAGGTCACTGATACCCCTAAAATCATTGTCACAATTAAAAATTATAATTGCTGAACATGCTTTACAAAGTCAAATATTTTGAGCAAAAAATTGAAGCATCATTGCAATGACAAAAACTATAAAGACGACATTAACGTGAAATGTATATACCATGTTCATAAACAAGTTTTACAGGTTATTCAACCATTGATTTTGTGAGCTGATATATTTCTCCATAGGAAACAGACTATGCAGTATACAGAAAACATACTGCAGTTCATTTTTACCGGTAAATTGCTGTTCATTAATGGAAATCTTCTTCAAAATGAACTAGTTTTCAAACAGGTTAAGAATTAATGACATTGAAACTTATTTTATTTGAGGTAAATTTAGTTTTCTTTGCAGGATATGATGGAGCATTGTCATGCATAATAATCTTATTCTAGAAAGCATTTAACTTCTTAAAACATGGCTCTATGTGCCTTCAAAAAGTCAATATATATCCAAGTTAACTTAATACCACCCCAAAAGATCACACCACTTCCTTGTTGACATTGCAACCTGTGAAAATGGTTTCTGCCAGTAATCACTCAGCCTGTTTCATCCATATCCTGTGACAAGCAGAGGTTTAGTGATGCCTGGGGCCAACTCCTTGATTGTATGCCCCTAAGACTCGGGGGGGGGGCTATAGTGTCTAATACCAAGAAATGTGAAAAAGGAAGACATTTTAAATATGTAAAAACAGATGAAACATGAAATAAAGGCTTTATTCAAATTAAATATAAACTAAATTTTTATTTCAATCCTTAATTAGATGCCTATATCCATTGTACCCTCTGTCACACCTTTCTGCATATCACTGTCCATATGGTCTATCTAGGTGAAAACATTTGAAAAAATTGTCTTAAATTTGTTGACCATTTCAATTTTCTTTCTGGCTTAGTGAGATCAGTTTCACATTTTGCTACTTCTTTTAGAACTTGACATCTTGTGGGGTTTTTTTTATACTTCTTCACTGATATAAATATTTAAGAATTTCATAGCTTGAAATAGATTTCCTATAACTTCTCTCTCTCTCTCTATATATATATATATATATATATATATATATATATATAGAACACTGATCAACTTGTTCTTATCCAATCAACGTCATCCAGTATCTTCCATGGATTTCTTTATAGTTCACCTAGCAAACATTTTTACAATTTCCAGATATTGTTTTAGCTTTTGCAATCTCTTTTCAAAGTCATTAAGCATTTCTCTTTATCAGTAAAATCAAACTTACAAACCATTTTAAATCCTTAAACTCACAACTATTTGAGACTTTAAAATCCAAGACATTTCATACAAGTGTCTGCCATTTATATCTGTGCAGATAAAATTTGCCATCATTCAAATATTAAACCTTTAGATTCTAAGTATTTTAATGTATCAATAAAACATTAAATGGCTAATAATGTAACATACACACACACATATTAACGATATATATTTCATATATCAGGAACAATATTGAGGAAAATGTATGACAAAGTGGAAAGTTTTCTTGCTGCACCTGGGCTCTTACTACATTTCAACATTCCTGGCAGAATTTCTATTATCCCAGTGTGGAATATCTACTAACAAAAGTGAAAGAAAGAAAATCAATCTAAATGAAATTGGCTAGAAAAAAATAAATAAATAAATAAAATTTCCCAGCATCCCTGATTTGTGTACATGCACCAACATAACAAATTTAGTCCAATGAAGTCCTAAAGGATGAAACACATCATAAAAAAAATTTTTCCATTTAGCCATGCATTTTCCCCATATATATATATATATATATATATATATATATATATATATATAAAATAAAAATCTATAATCATTGTATTCAAGAATATATATATATATTATATATATATTGTGCGTATTTAGGCACCAGTTTTTCATTCATACATGTTTCATTAAATAAAGCTTAGATTGGATTAAAAAATATGGATCAATATTGTGATTTTTCTTCTTCGTTTAATGATAATGTTATTAAGCTTATCAGACATTATGAAAAGAATCTACATAAAATAAATAGACAACACTTGTCTATATTATTTAATGAAACATGTATGAATATATATATATATATATATATATATAAAATGGCTGCAACTTTGTTAAGTATGAGCATCACAAAATAAACTTAGTTTTACTTTAATGTGGTTTGCAACCACTGGTAGATATGAAACATTATATATATATATATATATATATATATATATATATATATATATATATATATATATAGAGAGAGAGAGATATGCATACATAAAAAGAAAAAACATACTAATTTAAACAATTAAAAGATTTAATTACATTTTTATTACTGTAAAAGTTATTCTGGTGATAAAAATAAACTTGCCATGTGGTGCATTTTCTTTAAGACTTTGTGTCTAGGCAGGTGGACATTAATTTCACCATTCCAAAAAATATGGGAATTTCTACTCAAATACATATCACTAAAATAACTTTTATAGTAATAAAAACTGTATATACAGATACATAAACACACACATACTTAAAAGTGGAATTGCATATTTCTTGCCAGCACTATAGGTCTGTGTTTAAGTTCGAATAAAGTCCAGTTTCAAATTATTTTCAAACTAAGTCCTTCCTACTTAGTAAACTGACACAATTTTCCTACCTTCATTTTGCACTATACAGAACCAAACTTTCTATATTAAAAATATTTTCCCTTCATTTGTTTTTCTATGTTAAATACTTAAAAATGGGGGAAGAAATTCAATTTTTGTCTAAAATTTTTACTTTTAGTGATGCTATTTGATCTGATAAAAAAAAATCTTCATACATGTCTCCCAATTCCAATCATTCAACATAATGTCACCTAAAATATTTTTAAAATATATCAATCAAAATAGAGACAAATGTAAAACCCAAAGAGAGACATCCATTTTAATATTCCACACCATATTAATGTATCTTGTACAGGTATTGCAAGATAGAATTAATTTAATCTTTTGATCTTAAATGACTAAGATACTCCAAAATGAAAGCAAATATAACATCAAGTAAAGTATATCACTAATCAGACTACTTTTACATTTATATTAACCAGTTGTTTATAAAAGTGAATATTTTATCTGGGCCAGTGAATTTCTGGTGACGCAAGAATAGAAAAATCACTAAAACCCAGAATAAACCAAAAGTGATGAATCTCTAATCATTGTATTCAAGAGTAAGTTTTAAATACAAAAAAAAAAATTAATTCAGCTTCTAGAAAGAACATCCTTAAAATTACAAATCAACACGAGGCAATGAAAAAGTTAACTTAAAGATAGTGCCCATTTACAATATTTTGAAGAAAATTTAACTTACTTTCGCTTTATATTCAAAAATTCTAACAATCAGTTTTATGTATCTCATTTTATAAGCAGTAGAGTTTTATTTAAAACTCTTTCTTAAGCAAACTTTGATGATTCAGTAAATAATTCTACTGTAACTTATTTAGCATAAAATAGAAATACCAGAAGTCACATTGAATTAATTTTCATAACAGAAAAGTTATTTTATAGTGCTGCATTAAATATTTTGAAAACATGGACCATTTTGCACACAAAAAATAAAAATGTAGTGTCAAAATGATGGTTTTTATTTTTCCCATAACACTGCTTTTAAACTACTTTCATTTTTTGGCAATGTTTATTTTAAAAGCAATGATTAGAATAATAAAACATATGAAAGTGAATTTATTTTTTGTTCTTGCATATTTACAACAAAAATATTAAATATTATATATTTAATAGATTGTTTACAGAATCATTACAAGAATAATTTTATTCTAAAAACTCAAACAATTGTATTAAGAATGATGCAATACAATATTTATCATTTACCAATTTATAAAGAAATATGAAGTTTTTTATTCATAAATTTACAAACATTTACTAAATTATTAAAATATAGTATAAGGAAATCCTTATTATTTACCATTTTATAAAGTTCCAAATAACCAATGTTTTGGCAACTATTCTAATAAACAATATAATAAATAAAGAGTATAAATAAACAATCTAATAGTGTTTATTATTTTTGTTGTAAAACTTAGGAAAGAAAATGTATAAATTCACTTTCATATGTTTAGGTTTCATTACAATTCTAATAATTGCTTTTTAAAATAAACATTGCTTAAGTGTAAAGGTAGTTAAAATAAAAGCTGTGTCATGGGGAAAAAACTATCCTTTTGACATTCCGTGTTTTTGCAGGCACAAAGATCCATGTTTGCCAAATATTTCATAGGGCAAAAATAATAAGATTGCTTTAAAAAAAAAAAAAAAAAAAAAAAAGGTGGGAAAAAAAAAACAAAAAAAAAAAAACAAACAATTTGTAGATTATTATAAAAAGTCAAATGAATCCATTTTGTTAGTTTGTTTGGACAATGTATTTTTATTTTCACCTGTGCTGTATGACATAATGAGGACATGGCAAACCCAAGAAGAAAGGAATGAAGAGGAGGACATGTTTTTAAGGGTCACCAGTCCAACAGGTAACACTCAGTTACAAGTTACACAAAATACTTCCACAACTAGGGATCTAATGTCTCCATC